TATATATTATTACTTATACATTAAATTGCTATACATCATTTAGACTGTGAAGAGACTTTAAAGCTAAAGAATGCCTTAAATACCAGGTAGCCTGGTTTTAGTAAACGTCTTTGTCAGATTATACCAATAATCTTTCTGGTTTGTTCATGATCTTCTTGTCTCGTGTTAGAAAGAGGACGTTTTTATGTCTTTTAATGTCAACGTTATGTGATGTCATTAGTTGGGTTGTAGTGATCCATTTCTCTTAAGTGAAAGTAAGCCTCAAAAAAATGGGAGCTGGGAATCCTTTTTTTAAAGCAAGATACTTTCTGAATTTGATTCCTTGAAGAACATGGATGACTCAGTCAACTTTCTACCTGTCTTCTCGATTCCTGTGCCTTGCTGGACAGCCATTGAAGGCCCTGGCAGGACAGAATGGGGTCAGAGAAGCATATGCTGGAAGGACACGGGACCCTTTTTTGGGCCCAGCAAATGTCATTGGACTCTCCATAAAAAAAAGGTGGCTGACAAATGGTCATTGAAGTAATTGCCTTAAATTAAGGAGCTAGTGCCTTCTCAAACTGATAAAAACAAGTTTACAGAATACGTGTTTTGACAAGTATTCTGCTTTTCTGTGGAAGTGAGACACCTGTCAAGAGAACTGATAACTTAACTTGCTTTTCTATTAATTTGCTGTCCTGCAGTCAAAATAAAGCCTCCATCTATTTCATGCTAGGTAATAGGAAATGATTTAATAGTTGAACCAAGAAATGAGAGTCGAATAATGTATGATGACCATAAACGTGTCACTTGTTCTAGGTGGATGGGAGGACTCAGTCCTGTTTGCTCATTGAGAAGAGGAACTGGAATTATCTGCTAGAAGAAATATTTCAGTTCCAACTTAAATCAAACTAATGCAATGAGAAAAGAATACCATTAATTTAATTTATGCTCTCGTTTGAAGCTTAGATTGCATATTGAACTTGGAGAACTTTTTTTAAAGTTCGTTGATAGTGATGCAATTTAACTCAATGGCTATTGAAAATTTCATCCAGTAAATTAAACTGAAATGACCAAATTTAGCCAATTTTCTTACCTCAGTTTCATTTCTTTGTTTAAGCTATTGATCAAGTCAGGTAAATGATACATTGAACTAAAAGATGAAAAGGTAAACCTTAGAATACAGCTATACACCAGAAAGCTAATCTACCCCTTACATTGTAGAGGGATTTAATTACTTTAAAAGTGCTTTTAGTCACAGGCAGATAATTCTCACCATTTTCCCTTTGTTCTTACACTCATGCACAGAGACTGTTTTAGTTTAGTTTTAACCTGTTACACCACAGGAGTGCTCCTCAGGCGTGCTAGGTACAATGTGAATCTTCAGTAAGGCAAAGGATTTAGAAATGAGAGAAGTAGCCAACGTCTAGAATTTGGAAATGAATTTTTGAATCCAGAAATATAAAACTTACCTTTGTCAAGAGAATCTTTGAATTTTACTTTTTTGGGGGGGTTGTCATTAGATGCGTGTGCTCCCCAAAGAGGAGAGAGACAGAAACAGAGAGAAGGAAAGTGAGGCTATCCCTGGGGGAATAGCCATATCATAATTCCTTCTCCTCTCGAGATTTTGGGCATGCATGCACACATGCCTGGCACGATTTTCAAGCTGCCAAGTTTGGGACTGGGTTGGCCATGTAGGAGTCCAGGACCCTAACCTCCACACCACCTTCTGGCCTAAAACTTAAAATTTCAGTTGGAGGGACCAGCAGATGGTGTAATGGTTACATTGCTGGGCTCCCACATAGTTCACCAAGATTGGAGTTCCAGACCCAGTGGCTTAAAACTCATGCCTGCAGGGAACCCGCAGTTAGCGTAATGGCTATGTCGCTGGACTCCCACGTAGTTGACTGCGGTTCGCGTCCCAGACCCGGTGGCTTAAAACTCACGCTGGGCGCGTGTGTGTGCATGCCCAAGATCCTGAGAGGAGAATGGAGGAGAAGGGATTGCGGCGTGACCATCCCCCCTGGGGGGTGATTTCTCTTTCTGTCTCTATGTCTCTCTCTGTCTGTCTGGCGAGCGCACACACCCTATAGCAAAAACTTCTCCAAAAAAAAAAAAAAAAAAAAAAGCAAACAAAACCCTCATGCCTGCATGCCTAAAATCCAGGTAGGAGAGTAGAGTGTGAAGTGACCATTCCCCCTGGGGGGTGATTTCTCGCTTTCTGTCTCTCTATCTCTACAGTGAGCACATGCATGCATCCAAGGGCAAAAATCAGAATCTCTTAAAAAAAAATTCACTTGGATTTTTTTTTTCTTCTGATTTATACCATAGGAAGTGTTTGCTGAAGAGAGACAGAGAGAGAAGGAAAGTGAAAAATCATCACCCTCCCAGGTGGGATGGCTACACTACACTCTCTTCTGCTCTCCCCTCTTGGGATTTTGGACACACTTGCATACACGCCCAGCTGTTTTCAAGCTGCTGGGTCTGAGACTGGAACCGTAAAGTCAGCCACGTAGGATTCTGAGCATTAATCACCACACTAACTGCTGGCCCCATGTGCTTATTATGATTTGGAACTTAAGAACCTGCATTCTCAAAAGAAAAACGGTTATTATGCCCAAATATATAATATATATATATTTGGGAAATCTGACTTGTTTTCTCTCCTAGGTCCTTAACTTGCATTCTGACCATTTCCTAACGAGTAACTTGTTTCCTGCTACTCCAGAGGAAGTAAATATAAACGATCGTATTCCCCTGTGTTTTTAGCCAGGCCACGTTGGCTTAAAATTGCATCTCTGATTTCAGTTGAAAGAATCGCTTAGGAAAAGAAAGACATACATGTGAAAGCCAGGATCTAAAAATAGGTTCTAAACATGAAAGAAGAAAGAACCGTAGTTTTTCCTGTACTTGGAGCAATATAAATGTCAATATGGAGGCAGAGGACTGTCACGGGAAAGGGAGGAAAATGAAAAGTGCTCTTGAGAAAGAGGATTTTTAAGAAAATTAAGCACTCTGAAATAGATCGCTATTTCTATTCTATGTAAAAGATTCCTCTTCGAAAACACTCACACACACCCTGAGAGATTAAAGCGAATGATATTTACAAATGTGCAATATACAGTTCCCAACGGACTATGAAAAATTAAACGTGCAGACAGTTTGGTGCATAATTGCACACCAAACCCAACAAAGAGAACAATTATAAAATGATATGACTAATATTTGCAATTTCATTCAGTTTAACTAATTTTCATTGGAGACACAGTGTATCTAGCTAGCCCAGTGATTTGGTAGGGTAGAGAATGAGCAGTCATATATTTATGCAGTATGCTAGTTATCTTTCTCCAAAGAGGGTTGTGAATGATTATGAATTCTTGACTTCCAGTGTTCTGAGATTCCCCACAAACACCATCAAGTCTTCTGCCATTAGAAAATAATTCCTCCAAACTACTTAAAATGCAATAAAAAAGTTTCATTGGCATATTTTCCAACTGTGGGGTATAAAAGTTTAGAAACTATACTATATTATTTTTAATGCAAATAAAATGAATAGTTTTAGTATTAAAAATAGAATACATTCTATATCTGTGAAAATATAAAGAATTAAGAATATTTATGCCTATCAATCCATGGCTTGTGCTGAATTTAAAATAAGGTATGGAGAATGGAAGACTAAAACAAACAAACAAACAAACAAAAATCAAAAAACCTTAGTCTGTAGATGTATTTTTTTGTGTCTAGAAGATAAATAGCATCATAGGTATTAGCAATTTATTAGGATCTAATTCCTTTAGGAGTTTTCTTTCTTATTTGTACTATGGTTTATGGTGTCTTTTAATATACCAAATGCTTTTTTTCTTATACAATGCTAACTATGGTGGTACTGTCTAATTGTTAGAAACTGAAGCTCATTAGTTTCTGTAAAGATTTCAAGATAATAAGGTGACCATGTAATATGGCCGTGAGTGTGATTCATGGATTGTGGCTAAGGATACAGGGCATGGGATACTGTTCCCTTCCAACATGGTATTTCCAAACAGAGAAATCATACTGACTCACCGACCTCATTTCAAAACGCATTCCTAGTACTGAACTCTAAAATGAAAATCTTTTATTTATTTTTAGATACTAAACACTTATTGGCATAAAGGATTTTAAAAGGAAGACTCTCTAAAATAAAAGAAGACTCTCTTGTCTTATGGGTACCTTTTGTTATGAGCTGTGATGAAAACCAAGAGCGCATCATTCAAACACACATTAATGAGGGTGGATTTTGTCAGGGCATAAATAAAGGTGAGAGTCCGTCATCTCAGATCATCGTCGACGACGGGAGAACCCCGACGTAGGGCCCGGATTAATCCTCCATTTGGATCGTGGAAATACCGCCGCTTATTTCCCTCTTTCTGTCCTTCCTGCCAGGAATCACAGAGCCACACGTACCACCATTCCAATCATGATGAATGAGAGCTTAGCCCAGGGGACTTGATTTCTCTGTCCGACTCTGATCTTTATTTTTAAGTAATATTTCTTATACTTTCTAGATCTTAACCGGCATTCTCTTTGTGGTACGTTTTCTAAAAACCGTGTTGGAATAAGACAGGGTATAAATAAATAAAATGTGGTGATATGTGTTATCTCAGAATAAAATGAAAAATGATTCCATCCTTTTAAGAATTCAAAAGGCAGGGTATGAACGTAAGCAAAGAAACGCCTTGAGAGAAGAGTTTACCGGGGCCCAGGGCTAACAGTTCCCAAGGGGGAGGACAGTAGACGCATTGTAACTCTGTGAGGGTGACCTCTGTCCCCAGATGTCGAGCCTTCTGTCAGCATGCCAGCTGCTGCACATCTGTGCCCACCGCTATTTACAGATGTCTGGAGCCAGGGCTATTACAATTGTTCACACGACGTACCAAGCTTCTTATGCCTAAAATCATAAAAATGCTGCAAAAGTGAGATCACACACATTTGAACATCATCTGGTTTTTATTCAGAAATATCTGTGATGTCTATGACATTCTGAAAATCTGTTGGAAGTTTTATTTACAGTTGGCCTGTTTCAGGAACAAACATTGCCTTGCCATGTGGGGAATACCTAATCCAAATCAGAATTGTGAACGTTGAGCTCCTTAGGTGCATGGGGAATTGGGAGAGAAGCAAACAGTTCTCTTCGGGTCAACAAACCTCGAAGCCACACTACTGGATGATGACTGCGTCTTCTTTTCTTCAAAAAGTAAAATTCTATGCCTCATTAAAATATGTCACATTCATGAAGAGCTGACTGACATGGGAGAGAGACGGGCATGGCTCGATCTTTAGTTTTTCTGGGTAAGAATCCTTAACTGGAAGCAGCATCCTAGGGAGTGCTGAAGGTCAATTGCACTTTGTGGTAACTGGTGTTGAGCAACACCCACAGGGCTGCCTGGGGTGATAGCCCTTGGATAAAAACTGCTCCTCCTGTTCCTTGTGAATTGCCTGGTCTCTCTGTAATCTTTTTCTTCCTTCATTAAAGTTCTCATAAAAAAAAATAACAAAAACAAAAACAACAGAGACCTGACTACATTTGTAATTTAGTACTCAGGTCATGCTGCACAATCAGAGAACTGCATTATGGAGGTGTTTTTTTTTTCTTTTTCTATTTTCTGGATTTGGCTACTGACAGTTCAGTTCTGAAATTGATCCTTAGAAAAGCCTTTTTACTGCCCACCTAGGTCGCTTTTTCCAGCCTGGTCATCATTAGAAGCAGATCTGACATTTTGACCTCCTTGACACCTTTCCTACTGGTTTGGAACTGAGTTGGAATTGGCTCAATTCTGTAATGACATATTTGTGAACTTTTTAAAAGGACATATTTAACTTTTCTTTATTGTTTCAAAGGAATTACAGCCAAATAATGCAAAAAGTTAAAAAAAAAGGATAAAATCTAGGGATCAGCAGTTGGTGTGATGGTTAAGGCACTGGATTCCCACATGGCTAACCATGGTTCAAGTCCTGGACCTGTTGCTCTCTCTCTCTCTTTCTTATGTCTCTCTCCAATGAGCACATGTACCATATAGCAAAATTTTAATGTGAAAAAAAAAATGGTTCGAGTGGAATTCCCTATCTATCCATCGGTTGATCATAGACTCTGTTCAAGTTCAAGAACTCTGTGGTTCGAGTGGAATACCCTATCTATCCATCAGTTTATCATAGACTCTGTTCAAGTTCAAGAACTCTGCACACACCTCACTGGAGCTCTGCCTGGCAGGTAGCACCAGCTCTGTGCACTTTTCTCACAGTCAGTGGTTGTGTCAGACCACACGCTCATGTACTTCCAGTAGCTGGGCTGTGCTATGTTACGAACTATGTCGAATTTCCCTTTGCTACCAATGTCCCTATAGATGTTATAGGCCCTTGGGACTTTTAAATAATTAAAAAATGGTATGTATCCAGGGCTCTAGTATTATCAATACATGACCAATGCCCATTATCTGTCACAAAGATTGCATTTCTGATCAGTGACTCCATTTGGAATCTTACCTCACCATTTTGTAAAGTATTAGGTTGTTGGAAAAGTCATGACATATTTTTCTATATTTTTTCCTATGCAAAAAATGCATCATGATTTTCCTGACAATCCAATAGCTTCATACTATGCAAGAATTAGCTTCTCATTTCATAGCTAAGTGAAACATATCAAGCAAGAAGACATGCTTATAGGAATGAGTAGTTTTATTTCATGACATAACTATAAATGCTTAATCAAGTAATCATAGCTTTACTGAGCTTATCGTTCTTAAGGTTAGTACTGTTATAGTTAAGCATGAAAATAGCTTTTTAAAAAATGTTATTCATCCATTTATTAATTCATTCATTCACACAAACCTGTCGTCAGTCTTTAAGTTAACATACAATGATTTGGTTAGCAGGGAAGGGATTTTGAAGATTGTTAAGTAGAAGTGTGCTGAAGTTCTACTGGATGTGAAACTATGCTATATAGTTTATAAACGACAACTGAGCTGGATTCAAACATCAGAAACATTTGGATCTCAGCTAATCACACAATTTGTAATCTTGAGAAAATGTTTTAAACATTCTAACCCAGTTTTCTTATGTCTTTATCCATGGTATATTTTTTTTCATGACAATGTGTAGTTTTGTTGTTATTTGGTGTTTTGATTGAGAAAAGCTTGATACCTACTTCTTCTTCCTCCCTAAAGGCAGAGTACAAAACCAGTGGAAGAGTGGCTGTCAAAGACTTTGGAAGATCCAGCAGATGAAGACTTGGCATGTCTCATTGGCTTTAGTAGCACTGGGGCCATTGACCAGCTTAATGGCATAACGGACCATGGCAACTGCACTGGTAGGGGTACAAGGTGGACTGAACGAGAAGTGGGAAGCTTGAGACAAGGAGTATAGATTATTCTTCTGAGAAGTTGGCAGTAAAGGGAAGAAGTATTTAAGAAAACATATGGACGGGAACATGAGTCAGGAAGAATGCTTTTCATTGTACTGGAATTTCATGCGTACTTTCTCTTGAATCTTTCCATCTTCTCCTATAAGTTGATGCAAGAGTAATTGTGCTTTTGGCATTGTTGAAATTTGCTATTTGATATTGGATACACTCTTAAATAAATGTAGTTAAAAATTTATTTTTCTATTTTAGGGTTTTTCCCATTGGGCATATATGTTCGCTGGAGAGAGAGAGAGAGATAGAAAGTGAGAAATCACCCCCTAAGGAGGATGGCCATTTCACAATCTGTGCTCCTCTAGTCTCCTCTTGGAATTTTGGGCATGCACGCACATATGCCCAGTGTGATTTTCAAGTTTCTGGGTCCTGGACTCATTCTGTGGTTGACAATGGTGGGTGCAGCACCTTAACAACCACCATGCCACATGCTGGTCCCAGTTACACATAATTTTAAAGCACATTTCTGGCTTTATGTTTTCTATTTATTTATTTATTTATTTTGCCAATGACTTATTACTTGCTGTTTATTTGATATTTATTTTAAACTATAGAAATGTTGTCAGACAAAAAGCAAATCTAAGCAATTTTCTTACTTGAGCTCAAAACGGGTCAATGGAGATAACTCATAACATCAACACTCATTGGCCCAGGAACTGCTAAAGAACATACAGTGCAGTGTGGACTCAAGAAATTTTAGAAAGGAGACAAGAGCTTTGGCAATGAGTGGCGCAGTGGCTGGCCATCGGAAAGTGACAACGACCAATGAGAGACATCATCAAAGCTGGTCCTCCGCTATTCTACAGTCACTTGGCATTTGAAGCAAATCGGAAAGGTGAAAGAGCTTGATAAGTGGGTGCCTCATGAGATGATTGAAAAGTTTTAAAAATCATTTTTAGGTGTTGTCTTTCTTATTCTATGCAACAGCAATGAATCATTTCTCCATCAGATGGTGACTTGAAACAACAAGTGGATTTTATACAACAACTGGCAATGACCAACTCAGTGGTTGGACCAAGAAGAAGCTCCAAGCACTTCCCAAAACCAAGCTGGCACCAAAAAAAGGGTCATGGTCATTGTGAGGTAGGGTCTGATCCACTCCATCTTTCTGGATCCTGGTGAAACCATTGGATCTGAGAAGTGTGCCCAGCAAATCGAGGAGACACGGTGAAAACTGCACTGCCTGCAGCCGACATTAGTCAACAGAAAGGGCCCAGTTCTTCTCTCAACATTGCCCACTCACACATTGCACAACATGTTCCAGAAAATCCCTTATTTTTCTGATTTTCTAAAAAATAGCATTTCTTCTTCTTTTGCCCTAATAAATATGGAGGATGAGAGAGGGTTAGTGGGCACATACCTGGTGTGTCCTCTTTCTCTCCCTCTGAATTCAGGTCTCTGTGTCTCCAGTAGTAGTCATTCCGTGTGTTTCAGGACTGTGCTGGACAGAACACTCCTGTCTTCATTTGACTGTGGTATTAAGAGGTGGAGCCTTTCGCAGGTGTCTAGGATTAGATAAGGTCCTTAGGGTAGGGCCTCCATGACTGATGCCTGGTAGCTTCCTAAGGAGGGTGGCAAGGACAGACACACAGACACAGGGACACAAACTCTTGCTCTCTTGCCATGTGATGCCCTGTGCTCTCCTGAGATTCTTCAGAGAGTCCCTACTAACGAGAAAACCCTCACCACATGTGGTCTCTCGTCGGACCTCCGAAACTGCGAACTACACGGTCTCCGCAATGACACAATTGGCAGTGTTCAGGTCCTAGCAACGGAGAGTGGACTAATCCATAGGTCAGCTTCATCACCTTTGATATTTCAACTGAATAACCACTTCTGCAAGGCAGCTTTCTCTCACTCTCCTTGACCCTTCCTGCACACCCACCCCAAGTTGGATTAGAGCTCCGTGTACTCATCCTCACGGTATTATGTGCTTTTCCTTCACAGCACTTAATTATGAGTTAATAACTATTACATAAATAGTCATTATGGGGACCAGCAGATAATGTAATAGTTACATCGCTGGGCTCCCAGATAGTGGACTGTGGTTCAAGTCTCGAACCTGGTGGTTTAAAACTCGTGCTGGATGCAAGTATGTACGTGCCCAAAATCCCAAAAGGAGAATATGTCTTGCTTTCTGTCTCTCCGGCTCTCTCTGTCTCTCCAGTCAGCACACACTCCCTATGGCAAAAATCTCTCTTGCTGAAAAAATATTATTATTATGAAATTTTTGCACCGGATTGTGAGTCTTCTAACTACAGGGGGTCTGGATCACCGTTTTACTAGCACTATGCCTGGTGCAAAGTGAGAGGACAGTAACTAGTTGCTAAAGTTGCCGTTAAATCGACTGTGTGGTCGGCAGAAGGATAACCCTGGCTGGGAGGTCTGCCGTTGGAGTGGGCGTCTGTGCGTCCCTATCCGGCTCAGTTCAGCTGACTGTAGTCTTTTGTGTCTGTTTAGCATTTCTCCCAGAGGAATCTGTGTGTAAGCAAAAGCAAAATTCGTGTTATGATCAAGTCGTTCCCTCATATATCAACCATGTTGGAACAAATTTGCATTTTTGAAATAGGCATTATGGAAGAACGGACTGTACAATTTTGTCATATGGTTGCTGACGTTTGGCGTCAATTGATGATGTCAGATTGCTAACCAACCTATACGATCTCAGAAAAGTCTCCTGGTTACCAATAACACTAAACATCTGGGCAGTGGTGACTTTCCCAGATATTATAGCAAAAGGCTTAAAATTAAAAGGCAGTGTGATGTTGTGAGAAAGGAATGGACAAAAAGAAACTCAAAAAGTAGCTGAATGGAGCAAATGCAGCAGTTGATTAACTAGTAAAAAGTCCTCACAGGACTCTAACCATGGAGCCTAGGAAATCAAAGGTAAGGAGATTGCCAACAAATTTACATGCACCAGTTTAGCAAAATTAAGAAATCTTGGTTTTTGTTTTTTGTTTTTGAGAGGTCTTTGCTATAGGGCACGTGCGCTCTCCAGAGAGACAGAGAGAGAGAGAGAGACAGAAAGCAAGAAATCATCCCCCAGGAGGGATGGCCACGCCGCAATCTCTTCTCCTCCATTCTCCTCTTGGGATCTTGGGCACGCACGCACATGTGCTCAGTGTGAGATTAAGCCACCAAATCCGGGACTCGAACCATGGTCAACTATGTGGGAGTCCAGCGACATAGCCATTATGCCAACTGCTGGTCCCAGGAAATCTTATAATACCAAGTGTTTCCTAGATGATAACAGATCTAGAACTCTTTTTATACTATTAAATGGAATGTAAATAGGCATGAGAATTTTAGAAAACAATTTAGTTTTATCTCACAGAATCAAATTTGTCTTCCTAAGGTTCAACGAATTCTCTCCTGCACTAAATAAAAGAGCCCTGTGGGGGCCAGCATGTGGTGTAGTGGTTAAGGTGCTGGACTCCCCCATGGTCTAGTGGTTCAAGTCTTGGACACAGTGGGCACATGGGTGTGTGTGCCCAAAATCTCAAGAAGAGAATGGAGGAGAAGGGGTTGTGGTATGGCCATCCCCCTGGGGGATGATTTCTCACTTCTTCTCTTTCTCTCTCTGTCTCTCTGGATGTGGGGGCCAGCATGCGGTGTAGTGGTTAAGGTGCTGGACTCCCCCATGGTCTAGTGGTTCAAGTCTTGGACACAGTGGGCACATGGGTGTGTGTGCCCAAAATCTCAAGAAGAGAATGGAGGAGAAGGGGTTGTGGTATGGCCATCCCCCTGGGGGATGATTTCTCACTTCTTCTCTTTCTCTCTCTGTCTCTCTGGTGAATGCATATGCACTATAGCAACAACAACAAGAACAAAAATCTCTACAGAAAAACTAAAAAGAGCGGTGTGAATCCATTAACATGTAGTCTGTTTCTTTTCTGTCTTTTTTTGGAGGGGTTTTTGTTTTAGGACTTGTGTGTTTGCTGGAAAGACAGAGACAGAACCCCACAATCCCTTCTCCATTCTCATCTTGGCAATTTGGGCATGTACACACACACGCCACTGGTATGAGCTTCAAGCCCCAGGGTCTGGGACTCCAACTCTGGCCAGTCAGGTGGGAGTCCAGCCCCTTAACCACTACACCACCTGCTGGTCCAAAATGTCTTTTTCTTTAGATTGATTTTCATAGTCGTTGGAAGAGTTTATTAAAGATTGGAATTATTTGTGTATTGAACTTACACAAATAGTGTTAATAGTAAACCATCTTGGCTTTGCGTCGAAATAAAATATTTTAATAATAAATTCAATTTATTTAATGGCAGGGGTAGTCAACCTTTTTTTTTTTTTTTTTTTTTTTTGGTACATTTTTTCTAGGGCTTGGTCCATTTAATTTAAATTTTCAATTTAGTCCTCTTAGATCATTGTGGCTTAATAAGAAAGGATCAAATGCAGCTCTCTGGACTTGCAGTAGCCCTGGGCTCGGTTTCAGTCTTCGTGTCTAACAGTAATATTTTCTTCAAAGGCCACCTCTGTGCTTATCAGTAGGGTTTCAGTTTGATTTTCCTTTGTAGATTTTTTGCTTTGTTGTTGTTACTATTTGGTTTTAGGAGATTTTTTACATTTTTTTTAACATTATAACTTAATTTCCACCAAAGATACTTTGTCGAAAAGAGAGTATCTAGGATATGGTTGTAATATATATCAGGACTTAAAGAAGTTTAGGCCAAGGCCAACAGGTGGCATGGTGGTTGAGACTCTGGACTCTCACATGTCCAACCACAGTTTGAGTCCTGGACCTGATAGCTTGCTTTCTCACTTTCCCTAACTCTCTCTCTTTCTTGTAAATGCACATGCCCTATAGTGAATTACAAAGTAATAATAATAAAAATGATTAAATAAATGGTTGTTTAAAAATATCTCTCTAAAAAATTTTAAAAAAATAAAAAAAAGCTTAAGCCAAAGTAAAGGACGCTAATTTTACTTTCTTTTTTTCCCTGAAAGATTTGAGTTCCCAGATGTCATAGATATTAGGTAGGTACCTGTGGTGTTTACTGTGCAGGTTAGGACACCTAACCTCCTTCCGTAGCTCATTGAAAAATGGGGGTGGTGAGTCTCGAGACAGTACTCACTGGCTGCAAAGCTGTGGATTCACTCTGGGCTGCAGATCCACTTTGGGAAATAGCAGGCTTGACTGGACGGGGCGTTCT